ACACAGTGGCTGCAACAACGGGCTCAAGCATAACAACGATTGTGAGCATGGCGCAGGACTGGGCAGTGTTTTGTTCTATTGTACATAGGGTCGCTATGAGTCAGAACTGACTCAGCGGTACCTAACAACAACAACAGGTCATGCCCATTTCAACTTTACTAGATAATGCCAAATGGTATTCCGAAGTGGTTATTAATTTACATACCCACTGGTACTGTATAAGTGCTTCATTCCTCCACTTCTTTGCCTGCACGTTATTGCTAGACTTAAAATTTTTTGCCCATCAGATGGGTATGTACTACTATCTCACTGTGGTTTTAATTTGCATTTCTCTGATTTCTAATATGGATGAGTGCTTTTTCATATGTTTATTGATTATTCAGATTTTTTCTTAATAAAGTACTTGCTCAAAAATTTTGCCCGTTTTGTCTTTTCCTTTGATTTGTATTTTATTTTATTATACTTAAGGTGAAAGTTGACAGAGGAAACTAGTTTCTCATTAAAAAACTAATAAACATATTATTTTGTGACATTGGTTGCCAACCCCACAACATGTCAACACTCTCCCCCTTCTCGCCTTTGGGTCCCCTCTTGCCTTCTCGTCCTTTCTCCTGGGCTGCTATGCCCATTTAGTCTCATTTTGTTTTATGGGCCTGCCTAATCTTTGGCTGAAGGGTGAACCTCAGGAGTGACTTCATTACTGAGCTAAAAGGGTGTCTGGCGGCCATACTCTCGGGGTTTCTCCAGTCTCTGTCAAACCAGTAAGTCTGGTCTTTTTTTTTTTGTGAGTTAGAAATTTGTTCTACATTTTTCTCCAGCTCTGTCTGGGACCCTCTACTGTGATCCCTGTCAGAGCAGTCCGTGGTGGTAGCCAGGCACCATCTAGTTGTACTGGACTGTCTGGTGGAGGCCGTGGTAGTTGTGGTCCATTAGTCCTTTAGACTAATCTTCCCTTGTGTCTTTAGTTTTCTTCATTCTTCCTTGCTCCAGATGGGGTGAGACCAGTGGAGTGTCTTAGGTGGCCACTCACAAGCTTTTAAGATGCCAGACACTACTCACCAAAGTAGAACGTAGAACATTTTCTTTATAAACTGTGTTATGCCAGTTGAGCTAGGTGTTCCCCGAGACTACCGTCCCCACAGCTCTCAGCCCAGGAATTTAGTCCCTAAGAGAGTTTGGATGTGTCTATGGAGCTTCTATGACCTTGCCTTGGACAAGTTGTGCTGGCTTCCTCAGTATTGTGTACTGTCTTACCCTTCACCAAAGTTACCACTTACCTGTTGTCTAGTGTTTTTCCTTCCCATCCCTCCCCTCCCTCGTAACCATCAATGGTTGTTTCTTTTTGTGTGTAAACCTTTTCATGAATTTTTATAGTAGTGGTCTCATACAGTGTTTGTCCTTTTGTGATTGACTTATTTCACTCAGCATAATGGCCCCCAGATTCATCCATGTTGTAAGATGCTTTGCAGATTCATCATTGTTCTTTATTATTCCATTGTGTGTATGTACCATACTTTATCCATTCATCTGTTGATGGGCACCTACGTTGTTTCCATCTTTTTGCTGTTGTGAAGAATGCTGCAGTGAACATGGGTGTGCATATGTCTATTTGTGTGATGGCTCTTATTTCTCTAGGATATATTCCTAGGAGTGGGATTGCTGGATCGTATGGTATTTCTATTTCTAGCTTTTTAAAGAAGTGCCATATCAAAGGGTTGTACTATTTTGCATTGCCACCAGCAGTGCATAAGAGTTTCAATCTCCCCACAGCCTTTCCAGCATTTGTTATTTTCTGTTTTTTTGATTTGTGCCAGTAATGTTGAGGTGAGATGGTATCTCATTGTGGTTTTGATTTGCATTTCTATAACGGCTAGTGATCATGAGCATTTCCTCATGTTAGCTGCTTGAATGTCTTCTTTGGTGAAGTGTCTGTTCATATTCTTTGCCCGTTTATTAACTGGATTATTTGTCTTTTTATTGTAGAGGTGTTGGATTTTCCTGTAGCTTTTAGAGATTGGACCTTTGTTGGATCTGTCATGGCCAAAAATTTTTTCCCAGTCTATGGGTTCTCTTTTTACTCTCTCTCAGTGAAGCCTTTTGATGAGCATAAGTGTTTACTTTTTAGAAGATCCCAGTTATCTAGCGTATCTTCTGGTGTTTGTGTATTGTTAATTATGGTTTGTATCCTGTTAATGCCGTGTATTAGGGCTTCTAGAGTTTACCCTATATTTTCATCTATGATCTTTATAGTTTTTAGTTTTACATTTAGGTCTTCTGATCCATTTGGAATTAGGTTTTGTGTATGATGTGAGGTATGGGTCCTGTTTTATTTTTTTGCAGATGGACATCCAGTTTTGCCAGCACCATTTGTTAAAAAGACTGTCTTTCTCCCCCCTTTTGATAGATATTGGGACTTTATCGAAGATCAGGTGACTGTAGGTGGATAGATTTACATCTGGGTTCTCAATTCTGTTCCATTGGTCAATGTGTTTCTTGTTGTACCAGTACCAGGCTGTTTTGACTACCGTAGCTGTATAGTAGATTCTTAGGTCAGGTAGTTCGAGTCCTCCTACTTTATTCTTCTTCTTCAGTAGCGCTTTACTTATCCGGGGCCTCTTCCCTTTACATATAAAGTTAATGATAAGTTTTTCCATCTCTTTAAAGAATACTGTTGGTATTTGGATTGGGATTGCATTGTATTTGTAGATTGGTTTGGGTAGAATTGACATCTTCACATTGTTTAGTCTGCCCATGCATGAGCATGGTATGTTTTTTCATTTATGTAGGTCTCTTTTGATTTCTTGCAGTAGTGTTTTGTAGTTTTTTTGTATAGGTCTTTTATGTCCCTGGTTAGATTTATTCCTAAGTATTTTATTTTTTTAGAGGCTATTATAAATGGTGTTGTTTTCCTGATTTTCTTTTTGTAGTTCTCTTTATTGGTGTTTAGGAATCCAATAGATTTTTGTATGTTTATCTTGTATCCTTCTTTTCTGTTGAATCTTTCCATTAGTTCCAGTAGTTTTCTCGTGGAGTCTTTTGTTATAGTATCATATCATCCACAAATAGGGACAGTTTTACTTCTTCCTTACCAATTTGGATGCCTTTTATTTCTTTTTCTTGCCTTATTGCTCTAGCTAGGACTTCCAGCACATTGTTAAATAGGAGTGGTGATAAAAGACATCATTGTCTTGTTCCTGTTCTCAAGGGGAATGTTTTCAGCCTCTCTCCATTAAGAATGATGTTGGCTGTTTACGTTGTTGTTGTTGTTAAGTGCCGTTGATTCTGACTCATAGCGACCCTATAGGACAGAGTAAAACTGCCCTACAGGGTTCCAAGGAGCAGCTGGTGGATTTGAACTGCTGACCTTTTGGTTAAGCAGCGTGTTACTCAGTTTCCATGTATTTGAGTTTTTTCCTTGCTCTTCCTGTTATTAATTTCTACTTTGATGGTCTTGTGATCAGAGAAGATACTTTTTATTATCTTAGTGTTTTGGATTTTGTTGAGGGTTTCTTTGT